TAATTCCTTTGAAACTAACGCACTAGCAGTGTACAGTTTACCTTGTCAACAACAGCAGTTTCATAAATTGTCATTTATTAGAACAAACTACAGAAAATATGCAGTGGTGGTTATCAGTGTGTAAGTGAACACAATCAAGCGATGAGGTGGCTCGATGTGTTTTGCGCGAGGGTTAATATACACGGAGGCCAATTCTGCGTGATAGGTGATTGGGGTGTGATTCGTGTTTTTTCACACACCCTAATCCGGTAGCTCAATCCTACGACACAGGTTTCACCTTTGGTCTACCAATCGCCAGCCGAGCGGATCTCATCTCCCGTTCATCCGCACAAACCTCGCAGGCTTAAAGGCACACTGAACAGGTTGTCATAGTTAGTGATTGGGACAAAGACGTCGAGAGCAGTGAGTGCGAGATTACTAGCGTCGTCTACGACACTGACGTGCAAGAAATGGCGTGGCGCAACCTCAGTCGTCTCAACACACTGATCTCCGAAGGTTATGACAATCCTCGCCTTCTCTTAACCTGCATCTTTGGCATGAGTCCCTCTAACTTGCCTTCAGATTCTGCTAGTCTGTGGAGCATTCTTTTCTCTGTTTTGTCGGAACAACCTCTTCGTAGGAGACTAAAGCAGTTCGCGACCTTAGACTCGGTTGTGAAACTCTTGCGTGACGGCTCTCGTATTCTTGTTCTCACTGGAGCCGGCATCTCTGTCTCCTGTGGAATTCCAGACTTCAGATCCCGAGATGGGGTGCAGGCACGACTTGCAAGAGATTATCCTGATTTGAAAAGCCCCCAAGACATGTTTGACATGGAATTCTTCATGAAGGGGAATCCTTACCCCTTCTTCAAATTTGCACGAGTAAGTGTAATTGGATGTCTAGTAATGTATTTCAATCATGCGCGTTATTGCTCACTACCGCTCAAATTTCCATTTACTTCTGGAACATCCTCGCACTACCGTTGTGCGTGAGTGTTGAGGTTCCTTACAATCGTAATCGGTATCACCATGCTCGTGTCGGCTTAGCTAGTTCTACCACTTTTGTAGCCATCGTTGAGTTTTCAAGACTAATGCAGTTCATGCCATGCCTTTATAGGAAACATTCCCAGGTCAGTTCAAGTCGACGTTTGTGCGTCGATTCATCAAGTTACTGGAAAGGAAGGGCAAACTCCTTCATAACCACTCACAACATATCGAAGCGCAGACAGCGGAGAAGCCGGCCACCTCTAAGGCCAGCAGCGCACATCAGATGGAGGAGGAGGCAGATGGGCTCCAAACATCATCCAGCGCTCCCACGTTGACAATCGGCGAAGGTGTGGCAGTGAGGTCGCTGGTGACTAAGAAGGCGATGCCGCCGCCGCCGCCGCCTCATCTACGGGGAAAACCGTAGATGTCTAAGTTGTGTGTAGCATGGAGTTTTTGAGGCCCCGCCCATCCCAACCTCGCAGGAACTCGCTCTCGCTCTCTATCTCTCTCGACGCTATTTATGGTTCTTCAGACACACTCACATGTTCTACGTATTCATTGTCAATACAGTGTCCCCTACATACTGCTTGGTCCGACGGTGATGATAAATTTAACCCAAAGATGCTGAAAGTGTGATAATGTGTTTAAGGGAAACGTGGGCAAATCGAAGGACATGTTTCGACTTGTCGACAGCTTAAAATCTCTCACCAATCTTGTGAGTGGCTTTGCAGAATGCTAGCGAATCATTATACCATCAAGAGTCGGTGAATGATGAGTTTTCTAAATGGTAGGATGTTGCTCTAATTGCGTTTATGCGTGCTTCTAGTGGCTATCGCTGGTGGATTTGAGGGTGGGTCAGTAGACTGATCCTAGTCACTGGGATACG